ACCCAACACAGACCTAACATAGACCTAAACATAGACCAAAACATAGACCCAATATAGACTCAACATAGACTCAATATAGACCCAATATTGACCCAGCATAGGCAAACCAACCGTCTGTCCAGCTGCCCATAAATGGCAGTGACTGTTTCAATACGTGACTGTGTTTCTATACGTGACTGTGTTTCTATACGTGACAGTGTTTCTATTAGTGACAGTGTTTCTATCAGTGTCTGTGTTTCTGTCATGGTCGTATTCACCAACAGCCGCTGAGTTTTTCATGTTTGTTTTCTCTTCATGCTCCTCAAGATCATTAGGAAAATCATTCTGAGCCGCTTCCAAAGTCTCAGGTAAACCTAGACAAAAGAGGACAGAGCAGAATATCACAGGAGGCAGAGGTCTTTGTTTGGAAAATAACCATCAATTAAAACAGGTTTTCATTAGAACCATAACCGTCCATCAGAAAATAAAAACGGTTTGAAATAACTGGTCAGGATATCAGACCCATTAGGTGAGTCTGAATGGAAACCAGTTCCAGGTTGATTCTAATTATTGTTATTGTTTCAGATGTTTTCTGTCATCAGATCACCTTCAGCTTGAGCTCCACTGTCCTTTAAATCCAGATGTAGATCTGAAAAGAAAAAAAGATATTTTGGAAAAGGTATGAAATATATTCTAACTTAATGTTTAAAAGCCAAAGCCTATCTGGGCTCAGCTGAGCAGAAGCTCACAGCGGCCCTACCTTCACGCGCCTCCTCTCCAAACCTGTCTGACTCTCTGCTGCCACCTGGCGGCTGTGCTGTAGTACTTCCGCCGCTCCGCAGCCTTTCTTCTTCGCCCTCCTTTCCTTCTTTCCTCTGTCCTTCTCCGGCCTTCAGCATGGTGATTTTAACTGACAGCACGGAGATTCATTAATAAAGGACAATAGAGCAGAAATTAAACCAACAAATCTGCAGTAAAACCTTGTTTGTGAATTGTGAAAAAAATAAAAATAATAAAGTTCTTAAGACCAGCGGTAATAAGTCATAAGTAGAAAACCCGTCATCGTTTAAATTTTTACCTTTTCTCCGCGTAAAGCTCAACAAAACCAAGCTGCAGAAGCGTTTGAGAACCAGTTTACATGTTGCTATGGCAACAGGAATGTTTGCGGACAACAGTAACGTAAACAACGGGAGTCACGTGAGTTAAGGTGAGCTTCCGGGTCCGGCCAGCTGACAGGATTGTATTCCTCCAATCAGATAATTCACACACCTGCTGCTGTTAACCCATTGGATGAACTCTTTACAGTCTCCTCATTTAATTCATCACCTAATGTTACTATACAATGAAATAATAAATTAGTTTATTTACAGTAAAACGGTTAATTGGTTTAAAACTTTTCTGTTTCAACTGGAACAGCAAAAATAACCTGTAAAAATAAATCAGTCGCTTTAAAATACGTACAGATAAAAATATAATTGTACAAAACCATTGATTAAACAATAAAACATTTATTCACATTTTCTGAAATAATGTAAATAAAAGTTACCTTAAACCAGGTATAATTAATAATAATTTACAATCACCTCTTATACCAGATTGAAACAGTAAAATGATGGTTACTGCGGTTCACATGAATGTTCATTAGCCCAGAAAAATCCTCCTTATAGAGCTATAAGGAGGAGTTCACCTGTCCAGCAGGTGGGATTCAGACACATCCATCATATCATTAACCCTTCTGCACCTTCTCCATTCTCTGATGGATGATCTATCTATCTATCTATCTATCTATCTATCTATCTATCTATCTATCTATCTATCTATCTATCTATCTATCTATCTATCTATCTATCTATC